ATAGATGCCTTTCTGCGCAAGCAGCTGTTGATGTGTGCCGTGCTCCTGGACCCTGCCGTTCTGAATCACCACGATGACGTCTGCGTTCTGGATGGTGGACAAGCGATGCGCAATGACGATGCACGTGCGGCCCTCTCTGGCTTTGTCAAGGGCTTCTTGGACAATCTGTTAGGTAATCACATACATTGATTCTGATAATAAAGTTCTCTCGCTTTAATTTCTTCACCATGGCTAGCCTCACAATTTCTCCAATCCATATTGCTTTAACAGTTATGTTACTAAAATAAAGCAGTTTTATAAACCAAGGCATATGTTACACTGGAAGTAAATTCACCTACAGTTTAGATAATTCTGAGACAAAAGAACCTGTTCTTAAAGTTATAGCCATAAACAGAATTCTTCCAATTATTTAAACACATTTCCAAATGTTCTTCACCATATAACATCCTTAAAAATAGCTCCCTAATGCAACACCACAGAAAATCAGGAAGGTGGAGTGAACACCTCATTCAGTGTTAGTGTTTTGTCTGTTTTCACTATGTATTTGCAGAACGTAACATTCACATTCCATTTGGGGAGTTGTTTATCCTTTGTGTCTAACAGCCGAGTTCTTAACCTTTTTTCAAACTGAAAATGATCACCCATATTTTCTGAGGTACTGTACAACCAGATTTCAACTGTGCCTTACCCTCTATGTAACTGTTCGTAGTCTTGCTGATGAGATGCACCTGCTGACATGGGGAATATTCCTTCTGCATGCAGCACTTGCATGACTGCAAAGTGATGCTGAGCTGTTCCTTGAAGGGCACATGGTCAAGAGTAATTTGTATCACCTTATCTCTCCTAACTGGCAGTGACAGAAAATGTTTAACTTCTAGTGGAAGTTCACATACAGAACAATTCATATGACTAAATTATATTCTTACTAATGGCAAGAAAAACATAAATTTAAGCCATTTAAACACAAATGATTCAGGTATGAATGAGCCCAATTTAAATTCTTACCTTTTCACTTTCTGTATCCAGAGCTGATGTAGCTTCATCCAAAAGCAAAATGCGAGGCTGTCTAATGAGGGCCCGGGCGATGGCGATGCGCTGTTTCTGGCCTCCAGAGAGCTGGGTTCCTTTGTCTCCCACTTTGGTATCATATTTCTACAAACAGGGTTTTGTTGGTATAAAAGTCAAACAGATTGTAAAGGTCACACATTTTACACATAGAAAATGAGTACATTTTTTCAGTTCGATCCCCAGTGTGCTTTCCCAGCCCCATTCCCAGGGTGCGCTGAGACTGCAATGGAGACTGGGCATGGTGGCACATGCTGCTAATCCCAGCACTTGGGAGGCTGAAAACAGGAGAGTCACTATGATTCCAATCTACATAGTGAGACCGTGTAGACCCTGTAGACCCTGCCCTAAATACAGAAAAAAAAGAAAGAATAAAGAAAATAAGTAAATTTTTTCAGAAAACATTTAGAAAGTTTAAGTTCAGAAGCCAGGAATGGATGTGTAGAGAGTTGAGTGACACAAAGGCCTTACATCAGAGGTTTAATCTCTATTTTGTAAGATAGACATTGTACTTGCAAATTTTACCATAAATCAGCTTAAATGTTTTTTCAGGATGAACAGTATTGTAATGTTTTCCCCCATCTTCTGGATTCATTATATTTGGTTCAAAATGTTAGAAAAGAAATTTGATTTAAAGCTGCATATGAGCTATATACATTGTAACTGAAGCTCATCATATAGAAAACCAGCAGTTACACTCGGCATGATTTTTAAAGGCAGTAAAAAATATTCAGATGTCAGCCTTTTTAATGTCCATTTTGTGTCTTTTTATGAAGCCATCTCCCAACTTTTAAATAATTTCAATGGATGCTCAGAAACTCCACTTTAATATCTCATTTTAAAAACTGAAGTGTCCTTCAAAATACTGAACAGAGGATGTCATTAACTATTAAAGGCATTTTTATGTGGTCAGAAACTAAAGATTATACAGAGGAAAGCACAAGTGAAATGAAAGTGATAGCATGCGGTTCTTGTTTGTGCCTGGATGTCCCCCAAGCCTCACGCAGTCATGGAGGTTGGGTTTTTCAGAGGGGCTGAATCTACATTTTTGTGATTGATCCATGGTCTAATGCTGGGGTTATGGGTGTATTACACCTACCCAGGGGCAAGTAGCAGGTACAATATAAAAGAGGGAAAAAGGCTTGCTTTTGTTGCATTTTTTGTCTTCTCCTGCCATGAACTGTTGCTCTTCATCATGCCAGCTGCCTTGGAGTTAGCTGACTGCAGACTAAACCTTCAGAAACTATGAACCAAATAAATCTTTCCCTCTTTAATTTTTTGGCATTGGATATGTTGTCTCAGAACAAGAAAATTAACTAAGACACATGCTTATCCTAGAAAACAGCATTAAAAGAACCCCAGTCTCTTAACTGGAACATCTCTTTCATAAATTTTAGATATTAAATTTCCATTTTCCATAAAAACTCAAAAGTTCAAATTTTATGTCACTAAAATGAATATCTATCTATCTATCTATCTATCTATCTATCTATCTATCTATCTATCTATCTCAACATACTAACATGAAGTTTTGTGCACGGCCAGCGCACTGACTGGCCATGTGAAAGCTCAGACGAATCACAGCTGCTAATGAGTCACCATTCATGACATCATTACCTGGCACATTGCTACTCCCTTCTGAGCATGTGCATGGCCCCTCTGTGCACTACTACCTAATGCTCAGCCCCTGAGGTGATGCTAGGGTGACGTGGTTCACATACCAACAGAGACTTGGCAGAAGCATGCATGCCATAGGCTCACCATCATGCATCAGAGTCAATTCTCTAAATGTATATATCCAAGTTTCCCAGCATCATCTGTTACAGAAGCTGTCTTTCTCTCAGGATATATTTTTGGCCCTTTAGTCAAAGATCGGAGAGCAGAAGCGTGGAGTTATTTCTGCACACTCTCTTCTGTTCCACTGACCTATATATCTGTTTTTCGGCAAGTACAGTGATGCTTCAATTCATGAGTGCTTTTATTTGCAAACAAATATTTGGCAAAATTTTGGTTTTCTCTCCAAACTCTGCCCCAGGTGACAAACACAGCCACAAACATAACCATCTTTCCCATGCAAACAAAAACGTGGCCATCTTTTCAAAACTCATAGAATAAATCAAGTTCATGAACAGAGGTACCACTGTATCACTCTGTTTTTATCACTGCAACTTTGTAATATAACTTGAATTCAGGATTGTGATGTCTCCTGCTTTGTTCTTGTTGCTCAGGATTGCTTTTACTACTCTGGATCTCTTCTAGTTCCGTATGA